CATCTATCATCCACCAAAGTTTTCCAATATTTTGTGCTCGTCCACGGCCTCTGTTTTAGGATTCCCTTTTGTCACGAGTTTCACATTAAGATTCGAGGTGAACACTCTCCAATTGGTCTAAAATTACACTAACACTTAAATACTAAGTGCAAAACTCATAGAAATTGGTGAGTGTGCTAATAACCTATTTTGTTTTCAATGCTACTGAAATCTTGGGTTAGCGTTTTCTCTGTTTGGTTATGGAACTGATTGGCCATGTAGATTGCAGACAACTGGATTTCTCTAGGCTCTGAAGGTAGCGAAATCTGACGAAGTCTCGGCATTACGGTCAATAAAAGAAAGTAACAACTCGTGTGTGCTAATCAAGAATATAGCGAATTATATGTGGGTATAAGTGGTACGGATGCTCATATTGTAGAAGTCTTACCCATAACAAGGAATAGCATGTATTTCATTCAAGTTTAAATTGTAAATTTCGTGTTACAAAGTAAACGTAGAGCGAAAACGTGACAGGACAAATAACTGTTTCGAAAGTCAAACTGTACTGAAGCACAGAGATGAACCCATGCTGAGATCGAGTCATTCCGAAGAAACCTCATCAGTGAATTACCACCTTATCACTGAAAAAAACTTTCTTCGTGAGTGGAATCTCACTGTTCAACCAAGGACATCTACTCTGCCTTTCTTCACCGCCCATACTTTCTACTGCTCATACTCTCTCAGAAAGCAATAATCTCTGACCGCAATGAAATCCAACCCAAATGTGATTTTTCCTTCTGCAAACTCTTAAGAGCTTCCCAAGAGCCACTCATGACGTTGGATCTAGATCTAATAAGCTATTAATAGAATGCAAAAAGTGTGACGGAAAACTTGTGTAGATCTTTGAAAGAGCGTGGCACCACACTGTGTTCGAGGGTGACTATGTGTTAGGCGAGAACATAAAACGCAAAAAACGAAGAATACGAAAATATGTGAACTTTGTAGTGTGTTCTCATAGAGAAAGAGTACAAACCCTACGTTATTAATGACGAAACGTAGTGTCTTATGCATAGCGTTCCATGCACGAAAAATGTGAAGCGCTGGCGACTCAAACTTAATGTTTAGATCCATCCAGAAACATAGTTATCTCATGGAAACTCCTAGTACGATGAAGAAGTGCATGGCGAGTGTCATATATTTCTTGTATGGGGGATGTTCAATGAAAACTCTGATCGGCTTAAAGGAAGAACTGGGCCCCTTCTAAAAGAAAATGGCCCATTTCTGGATCTCTGATAGGCTTGGTCGTACACCTATTCAAGACGCTGTTACATAACTGAAACGGTGAGCGTTCTCTAAACGATATCGAGTTTTTTCCTGAGCAACCATACCGCTTTGACACACGACTGCGGTCACACACAATCGGAAGAAACGATGAGACAGTCAGGTCTTCGATGAGCACCACCAGGTGAGGGCAGTCTACAACAATCGAGAAAAAAAATAACGAGGCAGATCATGTAGTTCAGGAGACTCTAGGGAAGTAATGATAAAATGGGATTAGCATTAGTGTCTCGCTTTAGCTAGGGATGGTGGAAGATTGACACTATTGCCTGAATGAAAAGTGGTAGCTGAAATCACAATTCCCAAGATCGACTTTCTATTAACCTCAGCATTGGATTATAAATCTGTTGTTCTCTTTTTACAGCAATCGCGAGGTTGTTATTCAGCGCACGTTTACTTCTTCACAGATATAACACATACAGCACAACGGTTGCTGACGTTTCGGCAGCATCGCCTTTTCAGAGCCTGGAAGAGTACACTAATATGTAATTTACTAGCTCAAACCCTTCAATAACGCTGACAGAAAGATGAAAATCTGAACAATAATTACACGACCACTAGCTTTTCGGAAAACCCACCGTTCTTTGTTTGTCTTCCACCAAGGAAGAACAACGGCTTAGAGTAGCGTATGGTTGACTACTGCACCACCCCACATCAAAAATCAGTTTTGAGATGAGGAGCCAGATCACGCGTTATCTCAGGGCATTCTTCCCTGCTATTCGTTCTTGGATTTTTGGATTTTATCCAAAAAGCCTCGGGAAATTTGCGCGTTGGTGTTTTGGTCTCCTGCGCCAGGATATCGGCTTTTACATCAAAATCTTCTCCGCTGTGTTTTTGTTTCCCATGCCAGCCTAGTGGCGTGTGTCTTTTTTTATTTTCGTTTGCCACTTAGATATTCTTTTATGTGGATACATAAAAGTCTTTCCGCTTCGCCGATATATTCGTCTTCGCAAGTACTAAAAGAAGTTAGGTATATCGTACCTGAACTTATGCATTCACCGTCTCTGCCTTAAGGGCAAATTACGCAATTTGGTGGTTCATATGGACGGTCATACAGGCGGGTACGGACTAACTGACGACGTAGAGTATCTGGTGGTATCTCAACTATAGCTACCGATTCCTCTAGGTCTGCTCTTTTTAAGCATCGCTTTATCGCCACACTTATTTCATCGCTAATGAAGGTCAAGATAAACGCGACTTTGTTTCTCCCAAACCCTTCGTTTTGGGACGTTGCTCTCCTTCTAAACTTATCTCGTGGGATTACTATTTCGTAGCCGTTGGAGGTGGCTATTTGCCGAGCCAAGTTGCGCGATTCTCCCCTTAGTTCCTTGCTTGTGTACACAGAGGTGGCTGTTCGAAACATGTTTTTTACAAGCGCCTTCTTTGTGTGTGAAGGGTGGGAAGGAAGGAAATGAACGAGGATGTTTTTGTTACTTGGCTTTCGGAACAACTTTGTCATGTAACCGCTACTTGATAGGTTTATTTCAACGTTTAAAAACGGAAGCCAGTTTTTTTTCTCGATTTCCCCCGGGTAAACTGCGTACGATAGCATGCAACCTTTATGAGCTTCAAGATCGACTACGCTATCAGGCCAAACAAGAAACATCAAATAGAGGTGAAAACCAAGAAGCGGCGATATGACCACCATCTCCTTTCCCTAGAACGTTTTTTAGACAGCAGAGCCCTAACGACGGAATTGACGCAAAATCCCGCATGTTTTCGGACGGCTTCTCAACACTCTTAATCACTATCGCAATTTATCTCTAACCTTATAGCGGCATAAAAGTACGGCATGCAGGAAATTAGAAATTTAATAAAATCAAAATCTATTAGGCTATCAGTTAGTGATAAAGAGTGAGAGTTCGTAATTATTCCTCGCCAGCTAGTATTAAGATAACACCTTAGTGGTGTTACCCTTTGTGTTACCCATCTGAAAGGAAATACAAAAGTCAATACCGAAGACTAAACAATCAGTGGGTAAAAACGGCAAAAGCAGCAAGCTTAAAGTCGTCGGTTATTTCGCACTTTAAAATCAATAGACCAACATGTCCCATCCTGTACCTACTTATTAAAACACATAAGTCGGTATCACCTGATGATCATGCGACAACCAATCCGTCATCATTTAAGGTTAGACCCATCATCAGCTGTGTAGATGAGCCAACGAATAGAATAACCTGTTTTTCAAGCCTAATACTTACCCAGTTGCTTAACCACATTCCAGCTCACCTCAAAAACACCCACGTGATGGAGTCCTTCGACGTTACCGCGCTGTACACCAACGTATCGAATGACTCCGCAATGCAAGCCATCTTCGAGCTTCTTGTTGAATATGAAGGAAGAACAAATATGCATGGCTTGTTCATCTAGCAGCTTATGGCTCTTTTAAAAGAGTGCCCAAACTGCTTGGTTTTCAGATGGTCTGGAAAATATATCGCTCAAATAGGGGGGTTGGCAGTGGGACAGCGACTGGCACCAAGTCTTGCCATTGCGTTTATGTCTCCCACTTTATTGTAAGATTATCGCCATTTTATATTTCTTTCGCGTTTCGCGCAAAAACCAACCGAAGAATGCGAATTAGAGGAAGAAGATGAAAGTGTTGACGATGTCAGTAGTTAGTCATGCTATGCAGCCCCTCACAGACTCCTGCTTTACAATGAAAATGTGCCGAAGTAAGCTCATCATTATGAGTTATTTACTGCCGTCTGGGAGCTGATCGTGATCGAAAAAAAACACGTTCTGCTTAAAAGGGTTTGTCGCTGAAAGTGATAAGCGTTGAGTGGATGAAGCACTTCATCGGTCTCTGCCTTAAAATGGGTTGCTAAACTACCACAGATGAGAGGTTATTGCAGTGTGAATCCTGCTCTTTCATACCACGCTATTCTCGAAATAGATTTGTGCATGTGCTGGCGGACGTCCACTTTGCCGACAACGCAACTTGTACCAGAAAGGAGAGGTTGCACAAGAATGAGCTGTTAATCGAACTTATCAACGTGAATTACTACAGAAAAATAGATGTGGAAAACAGTTTGGAAGTAGAATGGCCAGTATGAAGTGCATAAGAATCACAAGTGCTTACTGAAGGTATTTGAACTGTGCCCAAAAGGTGGCTCAGCCTACAGAATTCGGGTATTTGGCGGTGACGCATTTCTTGCCCAGGAACTTATCAAGGCGCTTGAAGAAGTGATAACTAGTAGACGAGAAGTTTGATGGAAATATCGGATGAGGCAATGTTTCGTGGTCCAACTCGTCCAATTTCTGCAGCGCTGGATCCGAAACGTAAGGCCGAGAGTTGTCGCTAAGAAAGATTGCTCCTTTTCTTTTGATTGATGCCTTTCGTTGTTAGAGTTTACGGTGCATTTCGTCGATTTGTTCTCAATACTTATATACCGTAATCGCTTTGCCTGGATTCAAAAAACTGTGCTGAATCGGCTCGGCTTCAGACCTCCAAACGACCACCAAGGCTTTTTCTTTGGTGTAGTTTCGGCTTTGGAAAGTGCTGTGGAGCTTGATCCGAACCCGATCATTGAGCAGAACGTCGACGGTTGTCGCACAGAATCCAATTTTTGTCGCACGTCACATTTCGAACAAGGAAAGGGTCGTTCTCTTGCACAAAATAGGAGCAGACGAAACTTCAAAGCGGCGAATTTTTTTCTCGTTTAATTCGTGTGACAGCCACTTATCTAGTTTTTTTGCCTTTCTATGCGATCCGAAAGAAAGTATTCTGTGCTTTCGCCAAGCTGTTCTACAAGCTCGCGAACAGCTGCTCGCGCGTTTGCGTCCACTAGTGCCTTCAATTCGTCGTCCTCAAGTTCTCCGGGACATCCGCGGCCTTCCTTAACTTCGAGATTGAAATCATCAGATCGGAACTGCCGAAACAACATTCGCACTGGTTGACTAACAAACTCTACCTTCACCCAAACAAAATAATATTCCAAGCTCCTACCGCCGCATTCTTCCACTTCTAAAGAAAAGTACACAAATACAACATTGAATCACACCAAAATCGAAGTCTATGAAAATCTTAAAATGGAAACACCGAAAAACCAATATCAGATATAGAAAAAACAGATTTTACGCTTAAAAAATATTAACTAAACATACATCATCTCACCTGTATCACCTGTAGTCCTGTTGATCGCGGAGTGACTTAAGTGAGTGCCAGTAATTCTTCCATTTTTCTCTGTCGCATGGAAGAGCAGCACAGTGGATTTTGCTCGCTCTAGCGACTCATTGAGCATCATATCTTTTTTTTAGACTTTTGCTAAGAGCTCTGACTATCGGGTCGGTGGTCTTCCTGCAGTACGCATGACATCCCGAAGAATGCAGTCACTAACGGCTTTTCTCCATCGGTTGTCGTTCATGCGCATTGCGTGTCCGGCCCACTTTAGCTACGACTGTTTGGCGTACAGAACGGCATCTCTGATTTTTGATCGTTGACGCAGGTCGGAGCTTCGGATCCCTTCCCTTACATATATGAAACGGAACACTCCTAGCATCGTCCTTTCGACTGCGCATTCGATAAGGCTGGGTGATCTTTCACCCTGCTTACGCAGCGACCAGGTTTTTGACGCATATGTTAACGCAGGAAGTACCGTTGAGTCGATAAGGTAGGCACGGAGTCGGGTGTTCTTTTTCCTCTTCACTACATATTCGATGCTCTTGAAAGCTCCTTGAGCCGCTCGTTTCCTTCTGCTCAACTCTGGAGTTAAATCGTTCATAGTATTGATTTTCCGACCTAGGTAGACATAACTGGAGCATTGAGGGATATTCGTTCCGTTGAGCGTCAATGGAGCATACGAAACCAATCCGTTCGTCATGAACTTCGTTTTGTGAGATTTAGTCGAAGGCAAATCTTTCCACAGGCTTTATCAAAGTCGGCAAAGATTGGTTTCGCTTGGCTAATATTTGGTGTTATAAGGATGCTGTCATCAGCAAAGCGATGTTGGTGTAACTGTCGATCGTTGATTTTTCACTCCCATATTATCCCATTCCAATGTTCGCATGTCGTTTTGAAGGGTGGTGGTAAATAATTTTGGCGAGATGGTATCGCCTTGCCTAACCCCTCTTTTGACATCAATGTTAATATCTTTGTAGAATGGTGATACCTTGGTTGTAAAATTTCTGTACAGCTCACGAAGAATCTTTATGTACTGAGAAGGGACTCATTAACTAACAAGGGTTTCCATGACTGCTTCTATCTCAATTGAGTCAAAGGCCTTCTCTAAATCGATGAAAGTGAAACAAAGCGTGTAAACTCAGCGATTTAAATGTATTTTGGCATCCTTTTTACAAATGGTAGAGATGTTATACAACATTTCCAGTAGTGAATGAAATACCTACAAAAAGTTCTAGAACCCTACACGGAAAGATATTCTACGCAGGCAAACTAACAAAAGAACTGAGCGTATGCCTACCTCATTGATGTTCATATAGCAAACGGATTATCGTGTTTGTTTCAGCTTCATGATTTTTGGGTTTTTTTATAGCTGGAAGAAGCATTCTTTAACAGTTATCCTTAATTTCTCTTTGGTAACTTCAACAACGATTCAGCGGTATATCCTACCTATGACAGCAGGCTACGCGAGTTTAATTGGAGTCCTTTATTCCGTTTGAAAGCCATATTTAGGTAAACAACTAACCCAATTTCACATGTAATGCTGGTTTCAGCAATTCCACCATTTATTTCGTTATCTGGCAACCACCCTCGATGGGGGCTCAGATTCGCTGCATGAATCGGCTGTCGCTTCAAGACTGTAAAATTCTCCCTTCACAGCCGGTTTGTTGGATGCAATTCGAGTGTGA